TTAGTACCCCTGGGACACTGTTGTTAGTACCCCTGGGACATTGTTGTTAGTACCCCTGGGACACTTAGTACCCCTGGGACACTGTGTTAGTACCCTGGGACATGTTAGTACCCTGGGACATTGTTGTTAGTACCCCTGGGACACTGTTGTTAGTACTCCTAGCATCACTCAGCAGGAGCTAGGATGCTAGGAGGCCTCCTAGACGACACTGCTAGGGAGAAGGCTCAGCTCCAGATTGATGTGGGCAAGATTAAGACTGATAATGAAGACCTTAGAGTCAAGTGAGTACCCCTGGGGCATTGTTGTTAGTACCCCTGGGACACTGTTAGTACCCCTGGGACACTGCTGTTAGTACCCCTGGGACACTGTTAGTACCCCTGGGACACTGTTGTTATATTACCCCTGGGGACAGTGTTGTTAGACCCCTGGGGACACTTAGTACCCATGGGGACACTGTTAGTACCCCTGGGACATTGTTGTTAGTACCCCTGGGACACTTAGTACCCCTGGGACACTGTTAGTACCCCTGGGACACTGTTAGTACCCCTGGGGCATTGTTAGTACCCCTGGGACACTGTTAGTACCCCTGGGACACTGTTAGTACCCCTGGGACACTGTTGTTAGTACCCCTGGGACACTGTTAGTATCCCCTGGGACATCTGTTAGTCCCTGGGACACTGTTAGTACCCCTGGGACACTGTTGTTAGTACCCCTGGGACACTGTTAGTACCCCTGGGACACTGTTGTTAGTACCCCTGGGACACTGTTGTTAGTACCCCTGGGACACTGTTGTTAGTACCCCTGGGACACTGTTGTTAGTACCCCTGGGACACTGTTAGTACCCCTGGGACACTGTTAGTACCCCTGGGACACTGTTGTTAGTACTCCTAGCATCACTCAGCAGGAGCTAGGTGATGCTAGGAGGCTCCTAGACGACACTGCTAGGGAGAAGGCTCAGCTCCAGATTGATGTGGGCAAGATTAAGACTGATAATGAAGACCTTAGAGTCAAGTGAGTACCCCTGGGGCATTGTTGTTAGTACCCCTGGGACACTGTTGTTAGTACCCCTGGGACACTGTAAGTACCCCTGGGACACTGTTAGTACCCCTGGGACACTGTTGTTAGTACCCCTGGGACACTGTAAGTACCCCTGGGACACTGTTAGTACCCCTGGGACACTGTTGTTAGTACCCCTGGGACACTGTTTAGTACCCCTGGGACACTGTTAGTACCCCTGGGACACTGTTGTTAGTACCCCTGGGACACTGTTAGTACCCCTGGGACACTTAGTACCCCTGGGACACTGTTAGTACCCCTGGGACACTGTTGTTAGTACCCCTGGGACACTGTTAGTACCCCTGGGACTGTTGTTAGTACCCATGGGACACTGTTGTTAGTACCCCTGGGACACTGTTGTTAGTACTCCTAGCATCACTCAGCAGGAGCAGGTGATGCTAGGCAGGCTCCTAGACGACACTGCTAGGAGAAGGCTCAGCTCAGATTGACTGTGGGCAAGATTAAGACTGATATGATAGACCTTAGACTCATGTGAGTACCCCTGGGGCATTGTTGTTAGTACCCCTGGGACACTGTTAGTACCCCTGGGACACTGTTGTTAGTACCCCTGGGGCATTGTTGTTAGTACCCCTGGGATACTGTTAGTACCCCTGGGACACTGTTAGTACCCCTGGGACACTGTTGTTAGTACCCCTGGGACACTGTTGTTAGTACCCCTGGGACACTGTTAGTACCCCTGGGACACTGTTAGTACCCCTGGGACACTGTTGTTAGTACCCCTGGGACACTGTTGTTAGTACCCCTGGGACACTGTTAGTACCCCTGGGACATTGTTGTTAGTACCCCTGGGACACTGTGTTAGTACCCCTGGGACACTGTTAGTACCCCTGGGACACTGTTGTTAGTACCCCTGGGACACTGTTGTTAGTACCCCTGGGACAGTTAGTACCCCTGGGACACTGTTGTTAGTACCCCTGGGACACTGTTAGTACCCCTGGGGCATTGTTGTTAGTACCCCTGGGACACTGTTAGTACCCCTGGGACACTGTTAGTACCCCTGGGACATTGTTGTTAGTACCCCTGGGACACTGTTAGTACCCCTGGGACACTGTTAGTACCCCTGGGACACTGTTAGTACCCCTGGGACACTGTTAGTACCCCTGGGACACTGTTAGTACCCCTGGGACACTGTTAGTACCCCTGGGACACTGTTGTTAGTACTCCTAGCATCACTCAGCAGGAGCTAGGTGATGCTAGGAGGCTCCTAGACGACACTGCTAGGGAGAAGGCTCAGCTCCAGATTGATGTGGGCAAGATTAAGACTGATAATGAAGACCTTAGACTCAAGTGAGTACCCCTGGGCATTGTTGTTAGTACCCCTGGGACACTGTTAGTACCCCTGGGGCATTGTTGTTAGTACCCCTGGGACACTGTTAGTACCCCTGGGACACTGTTGTTAGTACCCCTGGGACACTGTTAGTACCCCTGGGACACTGTTAGTACCCCTGGGACACTGTTGTTAGTACTCCTAGCATCACTCAGCAGGAGCTAGGTGATGCTAGGAGGCTCCTAGTACCGACACTGCTAGGAGAAGCCTCAGCTCCAGATTGATGTGGGCAAGATTAAGACTGATAATGAAGACCTTAGACTCAAGTGAGTACCCCTGGGGCATTGTTGTTAGTACCCCTGGGACACTGTTAGTACCCCTGGGACACTGTTAGTACCCCTGGGACACTGTTAGTACCCCTGGGACATTGTTGTTAGTACCCCTGGGACACTGTTAGTACCCCTGGGACATTGTTGTTAGTACCCCTGGGACACTGTTAGTACCCCTGGGACACTGTTAGTACCCCTGGGACACTGTTAGTACCCCTGGGACACTGTTGTTAGTACCCCTGGGACACTGTTAGTACCCCTGGGACACTGTTAGTACCCCTGGGACACTGTTAGTACCCCTGGGACATTGTTGTTAGTACCCCTGGGACACTGTTAGTACCCCTGGGACACTGTTGTTAGTACCCCTGGGA